GTCTTCAAGTAACTTAAAGAAGTCCAGACGCTTTTCTTTGCAAGCTCCTTTGACTACGATGACCTGGATGACTGAGAACCTTCACAGACATATGAATTTGTGTAAGAAACTCATAGTCACTCCTCCCATTTGCTGCACCTGAACCAGCCAACTGACACTCCAATTAATTTCCTCTTTCATAATGTTGTTAACAAAGCACATTAATCTGCTGGAAGTTTGTTTTTACAAATTCTCAGTTAGATGTTGCTTTGTAACTTTGTTTTTTGTGATTGATTTTATAATCGTGCAGTGAAAAATGTCATGATTGGGACAGCGATTATTGCAGATTTATTATGAGCTCAGAATAAGAGCATATAGTAGCATATACTTATTTAGTTTCCATATTTCCAACTCTGACTTAGCAGAGCCAACTTTGAGTACATTATTGTATTTTTGTAGTACATCATTGTCCTCTTTAAAGTTTTAGACCCATAGAGCACAGGATTAGCTATACTTTAAAGTCAGGTTTGAAATGCACACAGTAGACTGTCTGTGTTTTGAACATTTCATTCTGAAATTTCACAGACTCACAAGACTCAGTCATATAATAATCTCAAACAATGTTTTGAAAGGTAATCTGTGACTTTAAATGAAACACATTTTTCATTGAAACTAACCCAAATCCATCTCACTGGGGTATCATATAACCCCTTTTTCACTTGTACCCACTCTGCTCGACTCTACTTGGTTTCAGTGTTTTTTCCATTACACTGGAGTACCACCTACTCTGGGTGGGGTCGTTATAGCAATGTGGCCTAAATTCCCGTGACGGCGTTTGTAAATGACAACAAAAGGAGGAGGTTAAGATGATGGTATACCCGCTACCTGGTCACCACAAAAATTACACCAAAAACGAGTGTATAACATTTGCCTCTACAGTTTTCTTTTATGGAAATCGCAATAGAAAAAAAGAGGTTGCTACAGCATATCAATGCATGAAATACTGGCTTGAAATGTTTGATTTCATTAAAAAATGAAATTGTCAAACTGTGGCAAAAACATTTTTCGTAATTTAATAAAATGACTTGACTCTGTGTGCTGCTATCTGATGCTACGTCCATCAGTAAACTGTGTCAGATCTGTTTATCTCGATTTTTATCTTCAGTTTCTGTCATTTTGCTGCTATCGGGTTACCCCTGAATAGATTTCAAAATCAACTTCAGATCATTTTAATGTAATACATGTTAATTCATAGGTAAATAATGACCATGGGAAGTATAAAAAGTTGTAGCTATACATTACATGAAGTTTTATAATATCCGATGATGATGACAGAATAGACCAAGAAAATGATTTTCTCCTCTCCTGTTATTTTAAAATAACTATCATGATCAGTGCTGACACGTGTTGGAATTTTTCAAACTACTCCATTAAAATGGAGGTTCAGCTCTTAATTTACTCATGGTGATTTATGGTATCTGAGCTCCATACCTTTCTTTCTCTTCTCACACACACTCTTAACTCAGAGTTGATTGAACTTTGATCAACTGTTTGGGAACAGGAAACTCAGGCTTACAGATCTCAGAGTTAATCATCTCAGAGTTTGTTTTTTAAACTCAGAGTTTATTGGACATGCTTCCTGGAACAGGGCATTGACCAGGGAAGAACTCTCAGCATTAATTCTTACAACTGTATCAGAGAAACCCTGATCTTACATTTCATGATGGTTGAAGTTCATTTTCTGTCTTAATTCAAACGTTTTTCCTTGTTTCTTTAATGTTGTTTTATATAAATCTAGAAACTTGTGCTTTGACTTTGTACCCTAGTCCAGTGGTTCCCGAACTTTTTTTGCTAGGCCCCTCTTTGTTTTACAGAAAAATGCCGCCCCCCGCGCGCACACACACACGCACGCACACACAAACACATCCTCCAACCACACACACCCATATTCTGCTCCATTGCGGTTTATTTCACACCTCAAACATTTAGTAAACAATTGAGCAAATACAAGTAATCTGCAA